AGGCCCTTATCCAATATATGGTTCCTGAAATTTTCTCCCAATCTGTAGTTTGTCTTTTCACTTTGTTGATAAAGTCCTTTGATGTAGAAAAGTTTTTCATTTTTATAAGGTCCTATTATCTATTTTGACTTTTGTTGCTCAAAATTTTTTGTCATATCTGATAATCTATAGTTAAATACTAGGTCCCTCCATAGGGTTTTGGAAGTAGATCACCAGCCCTTTCTTTGGGGGTGCCTCTGGGTGAACTTGAACTGCCAACCTTTCAGTCAGCAGTGGGGCATTAACCATTTGCGCCTCCCAGGGAATGCCTGGCACACTGAAGGTTAAGCTAAATGGTAGTTATTATAATAAAGAGACAGTTTGTAGCCAGTGGTGATTAAGGGGCCAGACTGCTTGGGTTCAAATTGCAGCTCTGCCACTTTGTAACTGTGTGATGTTAGGTCAGTTACTTAACCTCTTTGTGTCTCAACGTGGTGCAGTGAATTACTTAATATGACCCTTCTAGCAATAGCCTTTGTGACTCCCAAAAAATGATGGTATGGAACTATGCAAATAAGGTGTTTGTGGCCCACCAAGGGGATTAGACAGACTGCTAAGAATGCAAATAAGGTGCATGGAACCCCTGTGGGAGTGGGACCATGCGAATAAGGTGTATGGAACCCTAATGAGCAGACTGGACAGTTTTGCATCCCACTAGGCTTAAAAGAGAGCTGATCCCAGAGCATGGTGGGGGAGGGGGAGCTCACTACCACCAAGAAAGAAGAGCCAGGAGTGGAGTGTGTCCTTTGGACCTGGGTCCCTGTGCTGAGAACCTCCTAGACCTAGCAGACAGAGAGAGAGAGCTGTAAGCCAGGACAGAAAGAGATGGCATGAGATGGCTAGAAGCAGTGGCAGAGAAATGGCGGCAGTAGATCCAGGAGACCAGCATAAGATAGTGCAGTGGGCTTCCTGGCCCACAGAGCAAGGTGCTACAGTGGATGTGCTGACTCATGGAGCAAGAGAGCTGAGTGCCTTTGGGCAGGAGTCTTGCTGGTGGAGCAGGGTGTCTCTGGGTACTTATTGGCAGAGCTAAAAGAGCTTTGTAACACTTGCCTGAGCAGGGCATAGGCCAGGCTGAGGGCCAAGGGCTAGGGGTGGAGGGGCCAAGAGAGATTGAGAGAGAGAGAGAGGGAGAAAGAGAGAGGCCCGCCTGCGGGCACTGCTGAGAAGCTGTCCTGACCAGAAAACTGTATCCTGAGTTGTAACCTGTTACTTCCCTAATAAACCCCATAATCGTGAGTATTGCTTGTTAAGTTCTGGGTGGCTATTGCAATGAATTATTGAACCCAGCAGAGAAGTAGACAGTGCCATAGGAGAGATCACTGGTGTCAGAAATGGTGAAAAGGTTGTAGGGTGGAGGTATTGAGGCAGGCAGCCTCAGAACCTAACCCTTTTTTGAACAACCTGTTCTGGCTTATCCTCCTACACAGAGCAGAACAGGCCACACATTTTCCTGGAAATGTTCTTGTCAAGATAACCACAAAACGGGCCATAGCTGGCCTCAACCAGTTTTAATAGGCTTTCAACGCTGTCTTGACACTTTAAGTGACCTATTAGCTCCTTAAGTGAAAAATACATATGAACACCCTGCCTCTGCGTGGAGACTTAACATGCTAATGAGGGAAGATTGACCTCTTCCTCCATCCTGGGGAATCGAACCCATGTCTAAAGAAAATGCTTTGGGTGCCTGCGCGAAGGTCAATCCTGAATATTCATGATAAATTTACATTTCCTTGCTTGCTCTCTGTAAAAGCTCGCCTCCCCAAGCTGCCTGCAAGCAGTCCTGGCAGCGGCAGCGTTGACTGTTCCTTTCCTTGCACAAAGAAATAAAAGCGCCTTTCTGATCTCCCACCTCAGCCTCTTTTTTCTTGGTTGTGATAAGTCGCACCGAGCAAGACCTGGGTATTCTACCTGGCAACATTTCATTTGACTGCCACCTCATAGGAATCAGCCATGGGCTGATGTTGATCTTGATTCTGTCTCCTCCACCTTGTGAAGTTAGAGGAGACCAGACACCCACACACCATTTTCGCAGTCTCAGTTTCCTTATGTGTAGAATGGGGGTAATAACCACATCCACCTCATAAGGCTGTTGTAAGGAGTAAATGAAATAACGCAGGTGGAGTTTGCATGTGGTAAATGCTCAATTAATAAGTTCTACTCCTCCTACCCCATTGTTAAACTTGTCCTGCAATCCCCTTTACAAAACTCTGCTTTTCCCCAATAATATTTATTATCTTCTAAGATAATTAATAACGCAATTGGCCTCGTACCTGTTACCATACTCTACTTTTGTTTGATTTACTTCTGAAAGTCAGCCCAGTGAAAACCCTGTGGATCACAACACTTCAATCTGATCCGAAACTGATCATGGGGATAGCGCAGGACTGGGCAGTGTTTTGTTCTGTTGTGCATGAAGTTACTATGAGTCAGGGGCCAACTTGACAGCTGCTACCAACAGCAACAACAACTTTTATTCTCTAACAATATTGATTACCTTCCATATTGCTAAGTTATTTGCTTATTTAGTATTTTTATGGTTTAATGACTGTCTCCCTCCACAAAGTGGTATGCTCCAGGAGGGCAGGGATTTTGTCTTTTTTGTTCAGAGCATCCCCAGCACCTAGAACAGTACCAGGCAAGTAGTAGCTGCTCAATAAATATTAGCTATTATTATTATAAAATCTACCCTGATACCCTATTTAATACAGAATCCTCCTCCTGCCCCCTTTGAACTTGGATTCCTCTTGACCAACTTTTCTTTTTCTTTTTTTTGCAATTGCACTTATATTGCCTTTTTAAAAAGAAAGTAATAGATGGTTATTCATTCAACAAATATTTTGGGGGTGCTTACCATGTCTGACACTGTTTTATTGCTAGGGATACAGCAGGGTACAAAACCGACATAACTCCCTTTATGGAGCTGACATTCCTACTTTTTTTTTTTTTTAATATGTACATAAAATTTTTTTTATAGTAAAATATATATAACATAAAATTTGCCATTTTAACCATTTTTAAGTGTACAGTTCAGTGGCATTAATTACATTCATAATGTTGTACAACTTTCACCACTATTTCCAAACATTTTCATCACCCTGAACAGAAACTCTGTACTCATTAAGCAATAACTCTTTATTTCTCCCTCCCACCAGCCCCTGCCCTGGAGACTTCTAACCTACTTTCTGTCTGTATGAATTTGCCCATTCTAGGTATTTCATATAAGCTGAATCATACAATATCTGTCTTTTTGTGTGACTTATTTCACTCAGCATAGTGTTTTTTTAATAATTTATTTTATTTTTTTTGTTGTTGAAAATATACACAGCAGAACATACACCGATTTAACAACTGCTACATGTAAAGTTCAGTGACATTGGTCACATTTTTTGAGTTGTGCAACCATTCTCATCTTCCTTTTCTGAGTTGTTCCTCAGAACATAAACTCACTCACTGTCCCCTAAGGTTCCTATCTAATCTTTTGAGTTGCTGTTGTCAAACTGATCCCATAATAGATAGTTCTTAAAAGAGGACAGTGCTCAAGGCAGACATTCTTTACTGTTAAGTTAGACTATTGTTTGGTTTTAAGAAGACTTCAGGGAATATTTTTGGTTTAAAATTTAAAGATTATCTCAGGGCAATAATTTCAGGGGTTGATTGAGCTTCTATGGCTCCAGAAAGTCTGGATTCCATAATGTTATGGATTGAATTGTGTCCTCCAAAAATGTGTGTCAACTTGGCTGGCCATGATTCCCAGTATTGTGTGATTGTCCACCATTTTGTGATCTGATGTGATTTTCCTATATATTGTAAATTGTACCTCTGTGATATTAATGAGGCAGGATTAGAGGCAGTTATGTTAATGAGGCAGGACTCAGTCTGCAAGATTAGGTTGTATCTTGAGTCAATCTCTTTTGAGATATAAGAGAGAGAAGTGAGCAGACAGATGGGGGGACCTCATTACCACCAAGGAGAGGAAAGCTAGGAGCACATCCTTTGGACTCGGGGTCCCTGTGCTGAGAAGCTCCTAGATGAGGGGAAAAATTGATGACAAGGACCTTCCCAGAGCCGACAGAGAAAGAGAGCCTTCTCCTGGAGCTGGCACCCTGAATTCGGACTTCTAGCCTCCTAGACTGTGAGAGAATAAATTTCTCTTTGTTAAAGCCATCAACTTGTGGTATTTCTGTTATAGCAGCATTAGATAACTAAGACACATGAGAATTTAAAATTCTTTTTTGCATTTTCCTCCTTTTGATCAGGATTCTATAGAATCTTTGATCAAAATGTTCAGCAAACTCAGCATAATGTTTTCAAGGTTCATCCATGTTGTAGCATGTATTAGAACTTCATTTCTCTTTGTGGCTGAGTAATATTTCATTGTATGGATGTACCACATTTTGTTTGTCCAGAAATTTGTTGATGGACACTTGGGTTGTTTCCATCTCATTTATTACCTTTTAACACAGTATGTAATCTACTTATTCAGTATCTTTATCATTTATTTCTAGTGTCCTCCCCAACACACACCTAGATTGTAAGTCCTGTGAAATCAAGGACTGTTATAGGCTTTCTTTTTATGTGTCCCAAACTTAGGACAGTGCCTGGCATATGGTAGGTATTCAATAAAATATTTGGTGAGTGAATTATATGTGGTGTAGTGCAGGATGCACTGGAAATGGAGTCAGAAGGTCATCTGCGACTGCCACTGAATTCCCGTGTGACTTTAAACACTCTAGTTCTTTCCCCTCTTTTGGGCCTCATTTTCCCCTCCCAGCTCCGACGGTCCTTGGATCGCCACCTGCTCAGGGCAAGCCGGTAGGGTCGCGTCCTGCCTCTTGTGGCCGCCAGGAGGCAGTAGGGCCCGCCGCGCAGCCCCGCCCACTCTCCGGCCGGCCGCCAGCTGGGGGGAACGGCCCGCCCCTTGTAGAGAAGCGGAGTCTGGCCGATCTGGTTCATTTGTTCGTCCGCCCCGCCGCCGGCCGGTCGCAACCTGGCCATGTCCTGCTACATCTACCAGCTGCCCTCCTGGGTGCTGGACGACCTGTGCCGCAACATGGACACCCTCAGCGAGTGGGACTGGATGCAGTTCGGTGAGTGGGGACCGGGTGGGAGCGGTCGTCCTAGCATCCCGCCATAAGCTGCCTCGGGGACACTAGTTAAGTGGATCCTCATCTGAGGGCTGTATGTGCTGAAGTTTCTGGACCGGACTCTCTGTGGGACCTAGGCAGGCGCCTCTCCCCTCTCTGAACCTCAGTTTGATTATCCGGAAGGTGTTCTGTGATCCCTCAGGTCCTCTGGCGCTAAGATTTCTGTTGGCAGCTGCTCCCAGCTGTCTCTAATGACCACCTCTATCTACTTTGCTGTTCTCTGGACTGTAAAACTTATTCCCATGAGAATAGCTATTAACAGTTACTGTGCGTAAGGCTCTGTTCTAGCCTTTACATGTATAATCTCATTTAACCCGATGCTAAGTGGCACAGTGGCATTTGAACCCCGAGGTCTGGCTCCATCAGGACACAGTACATTGTAACCTTTTGAGTCCCACCACCCCGTTGCTGTTTGGCTGAGAGGAATGAGCAGGTGACCTTGGCATCTAGGGGGAGGCTTCCTGTGTGGTCCTCGGGTCCCTAAGCAGAGATCTGCATTCCAGTTTCCACCACCTACCAGCTGGTGGCTTTGGGCAAGTTTCTTAACCTCGTTTGAGCCTCAATTTCTTCATCTGTAAACTGGAGATGATAATTACGTTTTCTTATAATGTTGTGAGGAATAAAAATATTGCATAAAAAAGCACCTAAACACGTGTTAGATAGTCACATAAGTAATTAGGAAGTGTTACTTATTATGCTTAGTTTTAAGTCAGTGTAACTGATGCCATTTTTATTTTTTAAATAATGTATATATATTTATTAAAAATTTAAATTATGAAATATATCATTCATAGAAAGAGTATACAATATATAAGTACAGTTGAAATAATAATACTAATAAAATGAACATGTATGTGTTATCCATCTAGTTTGAGCAAGAAATATATATTTTAACCCAGTAGTTTTCAACTGGGAGTAATTTGCCCTTTAGGGGACATTTGCCAAAGTTCAGAGAACTTTTTGGTTGTCACAAATTGAGAGATGCTGTGAGCGGAGGCCAGGGCTACTAAACATTCTACAATGCACAGGACAACCCCCCCAACAAAGAATTATCCAGCCCAAAGTGTCAGTAGTGCTGAGGTTGAGAAACCTTATTTTAACCCAATAACAAAAGTAATGGAAACCCTGGTGGCGTAGTAGTTAAGATCTATGGCTGCTAACTAAAAGGTCGGCAGTTCGAATCCACTAGGCGCTCCTTGGAAACTCTATGGGGCAGTTCTACTCTGTTCTATAGGGTCACTATGAGTCGGAATGACTCGTTGGCAATGGGTTTTTTAACAAAAGTAGTACATGTTTATTGCAAAATACTGTGGAGGAAAAAGGATTAGTTCAAATTCTACCACGCAGGGATAACCATTCTTAATATATGGATGCTAATAATAATAGTTGCAGCTGACATTTGTTGGCTTCTTACCATGTGCCAGGCAAAGTGCTAGGTATCGTATGCCTTCTTGCCTTTTTTCCCTAAACATATTTATTTATGTGTATGTATTTTTCAAAAATCTTATCATTTTGTCCATTCTATCTCATAGCTTGCTTTTTTCACTTAAAATGTATCACAGTTATTTTCCCTTGCCAAACAATATTATTTTTTAAAACTGTACAAACATATTTAACAAAACATTTGCCATTTCAGCATTTTTACGTGTACAATTTAGAGACATTAATTTTGTTTATCATGTTGTGCAACCATCACCACTATACGTTTCAAAATTTTCTGTCACCTTTAACAGAAACTCAGTGCCCCCTGGCAGTGACTTTTCCTTCTAAGCAATATTCTTTAACAACATGGACTTACGTTATTTTCAGTGTGTATCTTTATTAACTATTTTTAATTGAAAAAGTAATATATGCACTAGGTTAAATGATGTAATGGGATAGAGAGGAAGGTAAGCCTCTTTCCCCTCCCTGGTCCTCAGCATCCCAGATTCCCCTCCCTGGAGGCTGTCGCTTCTTCCAGAGAGTCAGGGCACATATGAGAATATATTACCGCCTGCTTTTCAAGACTGCACTGTGTTCCATTGGTTGGATGATTTGTGACTTAACCACTTTGAATATTTCCTGGACAGTGGACAAGCTTTGTGAGTAGACCTCCCTCTATTTTTTTTCTATGTTGGCCTTGCCCTCAATTGTGAATGCCAGAACAACTTCTGTTTCTACGAAATTAGTTTAAAAGGCACACCTGTAACTTTTTTCAAAACAGCTTTATTGAGATATAATTCACATATACTATTCACCCATTTAAAGTGTACAATTCTACTTTTTTTCAGTATATTTACAGAGTTGTGCATCCATTGCCACAGTTAATTTTAGAATATTTTCATTACCCCAAAATGAAACCCCATACGCCTTAGCCATCACCCCCTAAGCCCTCCATCCCGTTTTATCCCTAGGCAACCCATAATCTACTTTCTGTCTCTATGGAATTGCCTATTCTGGAATCATACACTATGTGGCCTTTTGTGTGTGGCTTCTTTCATTTAGCATAGTATTTCCAAGATTCATCCATGCTGTAGCATGTATCAGAACTTCATTCCTTTTTGTGACCCTGTAATAATCTGTTATATGGATATATCACATTTTGTTTATCCATTCATCAGTTGATGGACATTTTGGTTATTGGGAATAATGCTGCTAGGACCATCCATGTACAAGTCTTTGTGTGGACATATGTTTTCATTTCTTTTGAGTATATAGTTTAGGAGTAGAATAGCTGAGTCACATGGTGACTGTTATGTTTAACATTTTGAAGAATTGCCAGACTGTTTTCCAAACCGGTTGCACCATTTTACATTCTTACTAGCAGAGTATGAGATTTCCAGTTTCTCTACATCCTCACCAACAAGTGTACCTCCTTTCCTTCCACACCCCCTCTCACTCGCCTCGCTCTAGTTACGCTGGCCTCCTTGTTCCAGACTAAAGGTCTTTGTATTTGCTGCTTCCTCTGCCTCTTCCCTCTATATTTCCCATGGTTGACTAGTCTGTATTAGTTTTCTATTGCTGCTCTAACAAATTACCACAGCTTCAGCGGCTTAACATAATGCGTATTTATTGTCTTACAGTTCTAGAGGTTAGAAATTCGAAGTTGGTCTCACTGGGCTAAATTCATGGTGTTGGTAGGGCCGCGTTCCTTCCGGAGGCTCTAGGCGAAAATCTGTTTTCTTGTTTCCACCTTCTAGAGGTCTCCTGTTTTTCTTGGCCTGTGGCTCATTCCTCCCTCTTAAAGCCAATGGTATAGCATTTTCAAATCTCACTCGCTCTTTGATCTCTGCTTCTGTCATCACATCTCTAACTCTGACCTTCTGCCTTGCTCTTACAAGAACTCTTGTGATGACATTGGGCCCATCAGATAATCCAGGACATCTCCTCATCTCAAGATCCTTAACTTAATCACCTCTGCAAAGCCCCCTTGCCATGTAAGGTAACGTATTCACAGGTTTTGGGGTTTAGGATGAGGACATCTTTGGGGGCTACGATTCTGCTGATCACGTAGTTCTTTAGTTCATGTCACCTCTTTCACAAGGCTGTCCTTGCCCCTCCCCTCCCCCCATTACTCTCTATTGGCTTTTACTTCCTTCATTCCACTTACCTTGCTTTGACTTTACCTTGTTTATTATTTGTTTATGTCTGTCTCTCCTCATAGAAAGGAGCCCTGGTGGTGCAAGTGGTTAAGTGCTCGGCTGCTAACTGAAAGGTTGGTGGTTTGAACCCACCAGACATTCTGTGGGAGAAAGATGTGGCAGTCTGCTTCTGTAAAGATTCGCAGCCTTGGAAACCCTGTGGGGTAGTTCTACTCTGCCCGAAAGTGTCGCTATGAGTTGGAATCAACTCCCTGGCAATGGGTTTGGTTTGGTTTCTCCCCAAAGAATGTCAGCGCCCTAGGGCAGGGACCTCACCTGGCTAGTTCACGCCTGTATTCCCAGAGCCTAGGACAGCACCTAGCAAGGGGGCAGGTGCTCAGTGACCATCTGAATGAGGGATGAGCTGAAGGACATAGGATGTGAGGACTGCGGAGTGTGGCTGCTTTTCACCCCATGGAGATGGCTTTGAGCCGTGGTCTGCCCACTCTTTCTGTTGAGTGGTTCAGTGAATGGGGGCCATCTGTGCCTCTGGTTTCCACTCCAGCAGAACGAGTGGTTGCTGTTGTCTTCCAGTCCTAAAATATCTTGGCTTCTGGGAGTCATTTTATAAAAAGATGGTTCCTCAGAGCTGATTGTGTTACTGGGGAGGTTGGGGGAAGACCTTTAAAGTGATTCAGAAAGTCACACACCACACCATCACCAGAACATGTCACAGGCCTGGTGCACAGTAGGTGCTCCATAAATACTTACAGAATAAATGAATGAACGAATGACTTAATATGCATGGTCTTTGGATTTGACAATTGTCAGATCATGTGGCTGCCTCCTGTTTATTTCCTTATGCTGCAGCTGCATCCATTTTTGCCCTTGAGGAAAATAGTTTTGGAGTCTGTCTGAGCTCTTGTACAATGGATTTCTTTCAGCGTCACTCACCAGGTGTGTCCAGAGGAGCCAGGGGCAGGGTTCCTATGTTGGACGATGCCTCATCTTGCTCACTGGTGCACTGCCGGGCTATGTGCACAGCCCTGCTTTGTCCCTGGCCAGCTGTGTGACTTTAGGCAAGTGACTGCCTCTTTCTGAGCCTTGAGTTTCCTCATCTCTAAGATGGGGAGGGTAATACCACCGTCACAGGGTAGCTGAGAGGCTTAGGGGACATACGGTTGTGAAGGCCCATAGCACTTTCCCATTCTCTCAGCCAGGGAGGAGTCAGATTAGTCTGGAGAAGGGACATCTGACCGTAGGATAGGTCACCTCAGGAGACTGTGCCATCTCTGCTCTGGAGGTCTTTGAAGATAGACAAGCTTTTCTGTTAAGTCATGTGAACTCCTGCAGGATTCAAGAAGTCAGACTTGGAGTGATGGT